TCTCAGTTAGAATGGTCACCAGGAAAAAATACAGATTGTGAATCACCCTGATGGAGCCACAGACCTCAATATAAACCCCAGAGGGGTTCTGACCCTTCCCTACTTTATCTCCTGCTATCAGCACGCTCCTTGCAATGCTGCGCAACTGATTGACTCCTTGTGCTACTTCTCTCTCTCCCCCCACTCTGAGCTCTGTTGTACATTAGCTGCAAGAGGCTGATGCAGAAGTCACATTTAGGTATTTTAAAAGGTAAATTGTATACCAGAGTTCAGCATTACTCTTTCTCAGAAAGCCTCCTTAAAGTTCCATGTCCACATTTTTTCTTTTTCTACACAACTACCCTTCGAAAGACAGCAAGCCTTCAGCAAATAACTTCTGCTAATAGCCATTTAGACTCTTTTCTTCCATTTTCCAATCTTCATAAAAGGAAACATCGGCCCATCAGTGTAGGAAGGGTAAATAAGGTGGGGGACTGTCTGAGGACACATTATATGCATTTGTACACAATATGAATACCCCATGCGATCTCCAGTCTATGAAAGCGATAATGAGTAATAATGATGATATAGAGAGAGGAAGCTTTCCCTCATAAGTGAGACCTTCCTTCCCTCCTCCGCTGCCTTTGAATTGAAGCTGCAGATGTCTGGATAAAATTAGAAGTGGAGCAGAGCGCCTGAATCGCACGAGGGAGGATGGTATCATTATGTTTAACTGTAACGTTTAACTTCCCCCAGTCTCCTCTCCCCAGCATCTCCTCTTCCTTCTTCCTCCAGTTATAAAATCCTTAATGAGTGAGGTAGATGAAGCCTTGTCACAAAAGGTACACACACAGAAGGAGCGTTTGAATTGTTGCGTCCCAGTGACACAGACCTCATGCAAGTATATTTTTATAACAATACACAAGGCTTTAAAGCAATTTAAGCAGACAATTAATGCTCTGTAAGTGCCACCAACTCGCTGCAAGGCGGGTTTCTCTGATATCTGACTACGGCAGCTGGTCCGTTGCAATAGCAAAGCACACCACTTAATTCGGCTAATGGCAGATTAATTTTAGCTAGATAATACTGAACTTCCTGAATTGTAAGTCACACCATATTACCAAATGTTTGGGGACACCTGACCATCACACCTACACTATATGGCCACCCATCCAAATTATTGAGTTCAGGTGTCTCTAGAAAAGGGTACTATCAATGACGAGGTTGGTGTGGAACATCTCAAGTGGCCTGCACAATGCCCTGACTCTAACCCTATGGAACACCTTTGGGATGACTTGTAATGCAGATTTGTGAACCAGGTCTTAGGTTCAGGTGTTCCCAGTGTAGGGTACTAGTAATGTTACACCATACAAAAGACATTTTAGGCAACTCTGCACTTTCTACTTTGTGGAAACAGTTTGGGGAAGACCCTTTTCTGTACTGACATGGCTGTGTCTCTATGCACAGATGATCATGGTTTGATGAGTTTGGTGTGATGCATCTCAAGTGGCGTACACAGAGCGCTGACCTCAACCCATTTGGATGAATTGCAATGCAGAATTGTGAGCCAGGTCTTCCCATCCAGTATCAGTACCTATCCTCATAGAAGCTCTTTTGGCTGAATTGGCACAAACTTCCTCAGACAACCACCAAAGTCTGAGTACGAGGACAAGGAGATGGTTGTTTAGCCTTGAAAAAAAAAGCTAATATTGAGGCACCATCATTGAAGTCTATGGTGATAAAAGTCCCATTCTGCTTCCAAAGTAGCTCATGTACCTTTTTGAGCTTTAGGGTGTCGAGGTACAGACAACTGGGTGTTCATAAATAAACAGGCATGACTTAAAATGACATTAAAGACTACTTTTTTCCCCCCACCCAATGTTAGTGTAAGGACTTACCTTCAATGATGTCTCTTAATTGATCCAATTCCTCTGTCCTCCTCTTCTCTGATGTCCCATGGAGTCTGTGCGGGTGCATGCTGCTCCATAGACATACCTTGTGTCTCTCCTTTTCTCTCTGCCGAACATCTGAAGTGCGCATGCGCCCGCCCCCAAGTTCCTTTGCGGCCGCCCAAAACTAAACTGTTCTGATGTTCGGACGGGAGTGCGCTGCTTAGACACAGGCAAGTTTAAATCGCTTTCAAAAGGTTTTTTGTTTTTTAGGTTTTTGCATATATCTACTGCTTGCTTGCTTGCATAGATATATGCAAACACATGCTGAGGGTTTAATAACCCTTTAAAAGCATTGGATTTGGTTCTTGAGCATTTTGAGCTTTGAGCTTCAAGCTACAAAACACTTGAATCAGGGCAAAATCTTGTGGAAAGCCTTCCTAGAACAGAGGAAGTATACCTCAGTAGGGGACATGCAGAGAGACCTCTGCTCCACTGCTTCCATACAGAGAGCAAGGGACCTTGTCTACAGGATACTGGCAGGGGGCAGACTTTTCTTCTCAGGCTGTGGTTGCTTTCCAAAGAAAACCAACTGAATGACTTTACAACTTTTGTTGTGATGCACCTGGAATGTATTTTGTAGATTTAAAATGAATGTCCAATCGGGCTTTATTGGGACTTGCATGATTTTAGCCACAGGCCATAGCTCAAAAACTCTATCAGGCTGTAAGTACCCTGTACTCTAAATGACTGTGCAAATCAATACAATTTCTTGGTAAGGATTGCCTGTAGAAAAGGTTGTTTTCATACTTCTGAAAAATTGCCAAGTCTATAACCAGACAGACATTTGTAAGGTTTTTATCTGCTTCGTATAATGTCAGCTTTTATCAGATTTACACTGGGCTAATTTAATAAAGAAGTACAAAGATCTCTGGTGATATGCAAAGTGCAGCAACACATGGCAACCGCATTTCAATTTACTATAGTCAAATCAAAGGTCAAAAGTGATTGGCTGCTGTGGGTTACTGTACTCTGCATGTCATCAATGACCTTTGCACTGCTTTTCTGAGCAGGCCTGGCATTATTTGTTGCTGTACATAGAATACTGGGGGCACTGTAACCAGGCATATATTTCTCTGCATTCTTTAACATGAAAGGAAAGGATGACTGATCGGTTGATACTGGAACACCAAGTCAACACTCACCACGTGTGCCATTGAAGAAGAGGGTTTGCCTGGAGGGATTCTGGATCACCACGATGGAGCCGTCATACTGGTGTAACTTGCAAGTAATCTCTGCAGTGCCTCCCTCTACTACCGTGACATTCTCGGCTTGTACTTCCTGGCAGAAAGCTGCAAGACAAAAAGGAACTGGTGACCAAGTGACAACATTTATGTATTATGAGAACAGTGAAATTAGTAATTAAAGAAGCCTCAACTGACTGCAAAATCATACAAGTAGTAGTAGAATTAAACAGGATGAAACATCTCTAGCTACAGCGCAAGTTTCCCTTTCACTCAAATCTGGAAATCTATCATTTTTCTTTCTCTTGCTGTCCTTTGAGAGTCAAACTGGGATCATCAAGGGTCCCTTCAGTTCAAAAGGAATTATATGTCTTATTGTCAAATTGTCTGGAGACACACAACACTCTTCATATAGAGCAAAGCTAGGCGACCTCGGCACTACAGCTGTTTAGGAACTACACATCCCATAAGGGCATAGCAAGACTGACATTCACAGGCATAACTCCCAGGGGCAGATGCATAATAGGATTTATAGTCTCACCACAGTTGGAGTGCCAAGGTTGCCTACCCCTGTTATAGAGTCATATTAAAGGAGGCATCCCCAGGATCCCTTTAGGCATGCACGCACCCAAGGATAGGTTCATTCTTGACCCAAAAGCATTCATTTTCCCCCTATTTTGCGAACCCAGACAATTCTTTTTAAAGCCCAACTGAACTTTAAAATTGAATCAGCTAAATATATTCTTGGTGGGCCAATAGCTGTGCAAGGTCTGTTCATTTTCTTTAGGCCGTAATCTGAGTAGAAAAGACTGTCCCCTGCCAGGATGCTGTAGACAAGGACTCTTGCTCTCTGTATAGAAGCAGTGGAGCAGTGGTCTCTCTGCAGAGGTCTGACATGACCCCTGCTGAGTCATATTTTCACGTTACAAGATTTTGCCCTGATTCACACATAAGCATTTTGTAGCTTGAAGCTCAAAGCTCCAAAACACTAAACCATAAAGAAGTCCAAAAAAAAACAACAGGTTTTTTGTTCAACCCCCCCCCCCCTCCCCATGTTGAGTCAGGTGTGTAGCTTTGTAGTCGGAAAAGCTCATGCTCCCTGCTGATTGGAAAGCTCTAGGTCTGACTTGGCAAGGGACATATCAGACTTCTGTAGAGAGACCACTGCATCCACACAGAGAGCAAGTGCCATTGTCTACAGCATGCTGGCAGGGGGGAAGACTTTTCTACTCAGGCTGTGGCTGCTTTTTAAGAAAATTAACTAGAAAACCTTGCATGTCTTTTGTTTTGATGCACCTGAAATGCATTTTACTTAAAACTGAAAGTTTAGTTGGGCTTTAAATAAACTCTTTGGATTGGTGAAAAGATGGTAACTGAATCCTTCTAGGTCCAGAAAAAGCCCTCCAAAGCCTGCATCTGATCACTTGAGTACATCTGATTATATAAAAAAAAAAACCACAGACACAAAACAAATACAAGCCATTCATTTCTAGTCCATCTCCATTGGCTGTTACTGCAGGGTCAGCACAATCTAAAAGCTTCGCTAACACTTACAGTACAGAGGTATAAATGGCCCAAAAACTCAAAACATTAAATTTTAAAAGCAATTCCACTGTAGATAATCTGATGGTCGGCTTGTGGCTACCCACACGTCCTCATTTGTTACAGAATCTATTATAATGAGACCCTCTCGGCAATTCGTCAGTCCTCTGAATAAACAGCCAATGCTACAAACAATAACGAATAGGAACCCATCTACATCTGCTTTCACCAATACCGTAGTTACAACTTACACCACCCCTGCTGGCCACTTATAAAGCGTTTCAACTTTCTCAAACTCCTGACAAGCAGTTGCAACCTTTTCAAGCTAAACTGCAAAATGTAAAACTGCCGCACCAATAGAACCAAAAGCAAGTACTTAAAGGGAATATTCAGACGTAGGACAGCAATGCGGCGGTCTCCAAATTTCTTCAGCACGGGTTCCCTTTAAAATTGGCCATACTGATAACAACCGTTTGTCTAATAATTGCACAATCTTTTTAAGATTTCTGATAGTGTAGTATGTATGATAAACGTAGTGTGAGGGTCTACCTAAAACAATCCATCCAATCTGAATCTAAGCAGGCAAGCCCTAGCACTACATACATATTGTTGGATACTAAAGCCCAACTCTAGAGCAATTAAACATTTTCCCCTTGCATTGGGGCTGCCCCCACACAGCAAGGGGTAATGGTGCATTTATGCCTAGGGGGCAGGCAAAAGCAGTTTGGTGAACTATGACATTTTGGTAGTTAAACAGTACAATTATTATAGAGGTCTATACAAGTGATGAAGAAATAGAAATAGAGGGGGAAAGATGGACAAAGGAATTGGGTTCTAAAAGAGAGACAGCCCCTCCACATGAGGGGCAGCTGGGAGCTATGCTGTGACACAAAAGTGTGAAGCCACGAAAGGTTTGCTATGGGGACCATTACACATAGAGTAGCTAAACCAGTGAATATAAAAACCAAGAAAATTGGCCCTGTAGATGTAACAGGAGACTTGTTCCTCCTGAAGGAACTGAAGGCCCTCTTCCGAGACCTTTTGGCAGGTTTCACACCTATACATGTGTAAAGGCATGTTTTTGAGGTGTGTTTTTATCATGCTTTATGAGGAGCTTTGCATGTCACTACACTACATATACGAGGTTGTATCAAAATGTGATTCCTGCAGAGATGGAAACAATGGTCATACATAAAGTCTACTACATAGTCCCCATCGTGTTTGACGCATTGATTTACCAGGACTCAGATCCAGTTTGGAAAAATTCTACAATTTGGACGAAGAGAGCTTGAATGGCGACCATTCAATGCCCTGTCAACAATTTCATTTTTTCCCCTCTGAAACTTCTTTACCCAACGCCTGAAATTGCTCACGTCAATTACTGCATCACCATACATGTTCCTCGGGCGTGTATGAATCTCAACAGCTGAACAACCCACTTTAGTCAGAAATTCAATTACTGCTCTGTGTTTCAACCTCTCATCCATGATTCTCTCGGTACAATTCAAAAAACAGAAGCACACATTGATTGAGTTAGACCATGTGTATAACCTATATCAGGCATTTTATTATTACAGGTTCACATAAACAGTAGATATGAAACAGCAATTACGTTTGGATACCCCCGTGTGCGTTAACTGGCAACATTAAAAACAAAGGAAAACCCCTGCACATGTGTGTTAAAGCTCATAAATGTGAATGGGCCCTTATAGTGTGACGGATTATATATCTACAGGTAAGAAACAATTTCCTGTTTATACTATCAACAGGGCACACAGAATATTATCATCAGAGTCACCACCTGGTGCTCCTTCATGAATATGTATCATGAAATTCTTGAAATTCAGAGACAGAGATAAATGGCCGTGTCTAGCAGATAAACATGGTCCTCTACTTCAAATCAATCAAAATGCTACCAAACTGGTCTACCTGGATTTTTTAACTGTGAGTCAAAAAAATAAATACGATGGGAACCTATAGAAGCTCATGCTTGGGTTGGCAATGAACACCAGCATAAGCAAGCCTGTCCTTATAATGAAGCCACCTCAGACAGGTCTTTGGGGGGTGGCAGACCCCTTTCTGGCCAGGTTGCTAAGAACTGGGGTGGAGAGCTGTGTAAGGGCCATACACATCTCCCCGTCCAGCTCTTCACAACTGGGGATGCTCTAGCTGGCACTCCTCCAGCTCTTGGCAACCAGTGACATCAGTGAGGTGGGCAGGATGCTGGCCAGAGCAGGGTGTACACCACCAGGGCGCCATCTAGAGCGTCATTAGCATGTTGTGTCCATCGGCAGTGGAGCTCCCTCTGTGCTGCTATTTCAATGTAGGTGATGCCTCATTGCCCTGGTTTGAGACAGCCCAAAGCAGCACAAGGGACACCTAAACCTGGCCATACACATACAGATTTGTCTTGTTCACTCCTTTGGCTAAATGAGATAAATCTTTAGATTCACCCTCCTCAGCTCTCTGGGCATGCTATATGTCATCACTACTTTTACAAAAGTGAACCTGGGGTTGCGAATACATTTAGAGCAAACAAAGTGGATTTATATCTAACGTGGCAATTGAGAAATATATTTCACAACATTTTTTGTGCCCCAAGTTCAGCTATAAGGGGTTTGGTTGCTTTCCCTATGACAAAACAGCTTTTGTGTTGGGTGGGTGGGTAGGTGGGGGTTATGGAAAGACTATTTTGTAGGGAGTTAAGGGAAGGATATTGGGAGGGTTATGTTGCAATGGTGAAAAAATCCGTTTTAGTTGTAACTATGAATAAAAGGATAAACTACTCAGTTTTGGGTTGCGTCCAAGGACCATTGACAGATCGCGGTCGCTAGAGGCGCAATAAATAAATATGACCACTGCAAATTGAAGGCGCTATCCTGTGGCTGGCACTAATAAGTTTAAAGAGCTCAATATACTATATATTTCGAAATCTCAAGGGTAAACTTTGCTTTCTTTTATTTGCATTACCAGCAGATGAATACAAAATCTCTCGTTTGGAATGCCAGAGGGATAGAATAGGAGAACAACACAGGAAATAATAAGGCCTGTTCACCATGCATAGCTTGTATTCACTGAACATAAACTGCTTTACAGCCCGTCTGTGCTGTAGTGTTAATATTAGTTTTTATATTAATAGTCAAATCAATATCTTTTGAGTAAATTGGGATACACCTATGACATAAGCATGGAGGATGCCTGGATACACCTATGACATGGGCACGGAGGGTGCCTGGATACACCTATGACATGGCCTTTGAGGGTGCCTGGATACACCAATCACATGAGAATGGATGGTGCCTGGATACACCTATGACATGGCCTTTGAGGGTGCCTGGATACACCTATCACATGAGCATGGATGGTGCCTGGATACACCTATCACATGGGCATGGAGGGTGCCTAGATACACCTATGGCATGGCCTTGGAGGGTGCCTGGATACACCTATGACATGGACATAGGGGGTGTCTGGATACACCTATGTCATGGACGGTGCCTGGATGCACCTATGACATGGACATGGAGGGTGCCTGGATACACCTATGACATGGAGGGTGCCTGGAT